TTCATCTTCGGCTTCCCAGCCTCCATTATAAACCTTCCTAGACAGTATAAAGCCCAATCATCTATTGGGGGAGGCTGCGGCAAGTTTGTAGGATTATATCGTTTTTGGGAACAAAAGCTGTGTTGTCGAAGCCAGTTTTGGGTAGCTCTTGGGTAATGATATGATGCTAGGTCTGGCCAAAAGATGATATGGTAATTAGCATGATGTTCGTGGACAAACTAAATCAATTTGGAAAGGGAATTTTCAATATAGCTCTAACTATTCAAAGCTTCACCGCTTACTCTTCCCACAAAATGTTACAAATTGTGCACCAGACAAGGATTTTATCTGCAAATTTCGCTTCATGTTTGTATCTAACATCGTCAGGGCATTCCTCTACGTTGTTCGTACAAAATCGGTCGTTTCCCTTCATTTCAAAGTGAAATACTTTTCGTCATCTAAAATAATGATTTTTTCATTGGCAAAGTGTTTCCGTCTCAGTCGTCAACGGCATCTTGGTATACGAAGAACTTGCACTTGAGAGTATTTGGGGCACTTAAGTCTCTTTCGATATTTAATAAATGAATGTCAACTGACAGTAAAGTGAGTAAACAAACTTTTGTTTCCAAAGGCAACTTGTGTTTGTTAAAATTGAAGCCAATGAATTGTGTGCCAAAACTTTTAGGACATACGTCAATGTATCTAATTTCAGTAAAATTTCAATTGGGACATTTGAGGCATACGAGGCAAGATACACAAATCCCTTTACAAAAGCCGCAGGCCTTTTTACACCTTCCAAGCTACGTCTATGTTACAGCTGTAGCTCCCGAGTGGTGTAAAAGTTTTATTGGTCTCCTTTGAATGGCTGTAAACAAGGTCCGGATTATTCAGATAATTTATCCTTGCAAGAATAATAATTATGATGACTGGGTGTATGCCAAGAATTCTGGCACAACTTACGTACGTACGTATGCAATAAAAAAGGGTTTCCAGATTTTATTACAATATCACCATGTAAATTTTCATCTGATGGAGATAAGTACGTCAGGTCTGTAATATAAAACAGGCAGTTCCTTTTGTCTGGTCTTATGAATGAAAAAAAGAATTGCATTGGAAGTAAAATCTTATAAGGTTAAGTTGATACTTATAAGAACAAAGTATTTCTCATTTTCATTTGGAGGAAAATAAGTTTATCCATTTACTTATTCCTCATCATAATTATACGAGGGATTTCTTTTAAGTTTTGCATATAGAAACATAGCAGGCCGCGTGGATCGAACGTCAGTACTGAATCTTAACCTCACTCTTTAGTAAACTTAGCATAGCGACGATCCCAGGGTGGGTGCGCCAAAAACGGCAGTCACCCAGGAAAACGTCGATGCTGTGCGCAAACTCATCATTGAAGATAGACATGTGACATTTACTAAGTGACATATAAATCCGAACACCCAGTTTAAATGGTTTTATTTTAATAAAAGTTGGTGAATGTATTTATCTTACTGTAAATAACAAGTGAAAAAATTTTCAGCCTTATCAGTTGGACATTCCGGTTTTTATACTGCTTTTTTTTAATTCACTAACGCTCTAAAAATGAATATTTCAGCCGCAGTAAAGAATCAACGTTGGCGGATTTTGGTTCTTGACATCCTTAACGATCGGTTACGATGCCTAGAGTACGGAGACCTGTACGATTTCGTCAACTTAGTGAGTGGGACTTCGAAAAGCTGGACTTTCTTTTCGGGCAATTGCAGTTAGAGTGCAAAGAAGTGTAGACACTGTGGTTAGATGTTGTCAGGCATGGCTTGGACAAGGCCGTACGCAAAGAGCAAGGGGCACTGGACGCCGCCGTAGAACAACAGACCGTGAAGATCGCCGCCTAAGATTATTGGCCTTAAGGGACCGTTTCTCCACTACCAGGTCCATTGCAAATGAATGGTTTGCAGAACACGGAAGACCTATTGGCATGCGAAGTGTTTACCGACGAATGAGAAGTTTTGGCTTGTTTTCATACCGGCCACACTGGGTCCTCCCTTTAACTCGAGAACACCGACGTAATCGCCTTGAGTGGTGCAGACAACGGTCACTCTGGGATCAGGAATGGAACAGTATTGTCTTTAGTGACGAGTCTCGATTTTGTTTAGGCATGCAGGATGGTCGTGCCAGGGTTAGAAGGCGACGTGGTGAAAGGAGGAATCCACAGTTTTTTGTTGAAAGACATGTTCATCACACTGTTGGAGTTATGGTTTGGGGTGCTATAGCTTATGGTTCCAGGTCACCTTTAATCTTTATCAGAGGTAACTTGAACGCGCAGCGTTATATCCACGAAGTTCTAGAACCCCATCTTTTACCCTATCTTGACACCCTGGCAGATCCAACTTTCCAACACGATAATGCCCGACCACATGTTGCAAGAGTCACAATAGACTTCGTTCAACATAATGATGTCACATTGTTACCATGGCCACCAAGATCTCCCGACTTATCCCCAATTGAGCACGTGTGGGATATGATGGGTAGGAGATTGCTCAATTTGCAACGTCCTCCTCAGACTCTAGAAGTACTTCGAGAGGAGTTGGTGGTTGCCTGGAATGAGATACCACAGGAGGACATTGACCACCTGATCAGAAGCATGCCTAGGCGCGTTGGAGAATGTGTAGCACATCAGGGTGCATCCACACATTATTAAAGGTCAAAGGGCTTTAAAGCAGTGCAATCATTTTCAAATTTTTATCATTTACTTATTATGCTTCATTAAGTACTTATACAAAATTTTATTAAAATAAAACACCATTTAAACTGGGTGTTCGGATTTATATGTCACTTAGTATATTACGAGATTGAGGCGTCCTTGAAGATCTCAAAGACCTCAATTCAAAAAATGTTACATGAAGAATTAGGAGTAAGAAAATTAGTTTCTCGTTGGATACCCCACCTGTTGACTGAAGAGCAGAAAGCGGCCAGGGTTAATTGGTGTCAAAAAACGGTTGACCGATTTAATTCCGGAAACTCAAAAAATGTGTACAGCATTGTTAGTGGTGATGAATCGTGGATTTACTGTTATGAACCAGAAAATAAACGATAGTCGGCTGTTCGGGTGTTCCAAGGTGAAGAAAAGCCAACAAAAGTCATCCGTTCTCGAAGTGTTTCGAAAAAGATGGTCGGGACATTTGTGTCAAAAGCGGGTCATATTGCAACAATTCCTCTTAATGAGCAAAGAACTGTTACTGCGGATTGGTATACCACCATTTGTTTGCCAACAGTCATCTTCGAGCTTCGAAAAATCAACCCCAAAAGAAGAATCATCCTCCACCAAGACAATGCAAGCTCGCACACAGCCCAAAAAACAAGGCAGTATTTAACGGAAGGAAACATGGAATTATTGGAACATCCTCCATATAGTCCCGTTTTAAGTCCTAATGATTTCTTTACTTTCCCGAAAATTAAGAACAGACTGCGTGGTCAAAGGTTCCAGTCACCTGAAGAAGCAGTTGACGCATTCAAAAATTCCGTTTTTGGATCTGCCAGCAAACGAGTGGAATAAGTGCTTCGAAAATTGGTTCGAGCGCATGCAGATGTGTATTAATCTTCGTGGAGAATACTTCGAAAAACAATAAAGTCATTTAAAACTACCTACCGTGTTGTTTTATTTCCATATGCAAAACTTAAAAGAGATTCCTCGTAAGTATTTATTTGGATATCGGTGTTAATGCTTGCGCTTGCAAGACAAGTCACGACAAGTCTGTATCTTTCTGATACGGTGTGTACAGTGTTGTGGTAAATTTGCTGATATTTTTGTTTGTGACATGATAATGTTTGAATACTTTATAAAAAACAGGATGTTTTCTGCACCCTTGTAGGAAGCTTCGTTTTCATCTTCTGTTTTATGTTTCACGCTACCGAATTAAATACCCTGCATACCATTGTATTTTGATATACACTGCCACGCAAAATGAAAATGTTTGTTGTTATACAGGGTGTAACTAAAAGGTGCATTTTTCACTAAACTTCTGTACGTATGAGAGTTTTAAGCCTCAACTTTTCTCAGCAGTTCTTTTTTTCGATTCATGTCAAGATCTAAATTATTGAAGAATATATGGTGTTTTGAAGAAAATCATGCGAGTCATAGCCATAAACACTTTAATTTAAAAAATTACAGTGACAATATCGGTAAGAAAACAATGCGAATCATAACCATAAACAATTTATCTTAAAAAATTACAGTGACATCATTGGTAATTAGAAATTGTTATCAAAAACGAGTATTTCCTCAGTGGGCTTGAATAACAGCTCTCATCCTCTCTGGCATAGACTCAATTAAACTAACTATCGATCATCTCATTTTGTCGATGCCTAGGTGCCTAGGGTGCGCCATTTTTATGTCGGTAATGAAACATCGAGTCACTTTGTTATTTACCAACCGATTGATTTGGTTATACGTGTTTCTGAAACGTCAATTTACTACAATTTTAGTCATGAATCGCTTAACACCGAAACAACGCGCGGAAATAGTCGTTCAAAATCATCGTTCGGTTGTATTAACGCATCGTGCATATCGTCGAAAATATCGTCTCAAACACCATCCGTCATTTGGTTTCAAATTTTCTTGAGTAGGGAACAGTGAGAGATCGTCAACATACTGTTCGTCAACGACCAAGATGTTCCAATGAATTTTTTGAAGCGGTCAGAGACAGCGCTGGCCAGATCCCAAAAGTGTCGTATCGTCACCGCGCTAAGCATTTTGGCATCAGTGGAACCACGTTACGGCGCATTTTTTTTTATTATTATTATTAAACAACACATTTGAGTTGAATACAAGTAATATAAACTCAAACACATAATAGATAATAGTGTACAGACAAAAGAAATATAACAATTTAACAATAGCACTTCTGAAGTAGACATATTTTTTTTATACCCCAACTACCACGAAGGCCTAAGGCCTAAGCACCCATTGGGTACCGTGGGGCTGTAGGGGGATACATGGGAAAGGGGGAACGCCACACGGCCTCTGGCGAGGGAACACGCACACATTCTGACTCCGCCTACGAGAACCGCCGGGTGGTACCTCCGCGTTCGACAGTCAGAGACCGTCTACCACCTACGGACAATCACAACATCCATAGCCAAGAGAAAAATTCCTCCTGGGACGGGACTCGAACCCGCACAGCGTACGGCGACTGATCAGGAGACCGAAGAGTCTACTACTGCGGCCACCGCTGCTGTCTATATACAGAATGGGAACAATATGTTAAGCACTGCGGTGTCTATCATAATTGAGATAAAGCGCTGACGAGTAGGGGTTCTAAAAGCTTCCTTCTGCAGTTTGAAGTTATGGCCTCTGAGATTGTTCGTTGCCAGATGTAACAGATGCGACATGTCCATATCAAACAAATTATGCAGTGCTCTGAAAGTGATGATGAGATCTCCTCGTATTCTTCTATCAGCAAAAGCAGGCAGGTTATATAACTCGAGGCGGTCTACATAACTCGGCTTACGTGTGCCATAAGGCATACGTGTAGCACGACGTTGAAAGGCCTCTAATAAGCTGCTATCGCGAACAAGGTTTGAATCTCCTACCGGAGCAGCAAACTCCAGTAGGGGTCGTACGAAAGTTGTGTACAAGAAGGAGGAGGTACTAACGGTGCAACCGCTAAGTTTGCCGCCAGAAAAACAGTCTCTAAGGTATGTTTGCCAATCTTATATGTTAAGTTAGGATTATTCTTTTCCAGGTGGAGAATGTAGGATTTCGAGAGATTTAAAGGCAGGAGCCAAAGTTCTGACCACTTTTTGATCAGCTTGAGGTCTTCTTGAAGCACAGATGAGTTCACGGCAGTGTTATAGACTTTAGTATCATCTGCATAGAAGGAACACATAGAAGAAAGTCGGATGAGAAAGTCGGATGGGAAGGTCGCTTGTATAAAGAAGAAAAAGTATTCGCCCTAGCACACCTTGTGGAACTCCACTAGTAACACGATGGCTAGAAGAATAGGCGTCTCCAATACGGACGGAGAAAGATCTATCTAACAAAAAAGCTTCAATCCAGAACAACAAATTTCCCCTGATTTCGAGATGTTCAAGCTTGTGCAGGAGCCTTCTATGCGGAACTCGATCGAAAAATCTTTGCGTCTAAAGATCTGGTCCAATTGTCGGTGCAGTGTAACATGTTGGTGATAATTGATCTACCAGGAATAAAACCATGTTGGTTGCTAGGCAGCAGGTTGTTCTTGAACGCAAATTTTGAAGGATGATTTGCATTTGTTTCCTTATAAAGTGCAGTTAACACAAAAAATATTGCCAACTGACCATCCACGTCTTTTGGAATACGCCCAAACACTCGCTCGCATGGTTAATGCTGAACCTGAATTGTGATGACCGACGAGGTCCATTTCACGCTGTCTGGCGGCAATAATAAGCATGACCGAAAAGTGACTGTTTGGGCCGGCACTTGCGCTAAAACCATCATTGGGCCATTTTTCTTCAACGAAAACGAAACAGTCGATGGAAATCGATATCGGTGGATGTTGGCTCATTATGTTTGCCCACAAATGCGTGAAAAAGGTCTTGATGGTTACTGATTTCAACAAGACGGTGCGCCATGCCACACTGCAAATTAAAGAATCCATTTTATGCAACGAAAATTCCCTGGACGTCTGATGACAAAAAGAGGTGACCTTGACTGGCCACCCAGGTTTCCAGATTTGACCTCCACGGACTTCTTCTTGTGGGATTATTTGAAAAGTCAAGTGTACGTCAGCAAGCCCCAGACCACTGAAGAACTCAAGGCAAACATTCGTACCGCAATCGCTGCTATACCACCAGAGATGCTCGAAAAAGTAATGGAAAACTAGTCCCAATAAATTGTAAAGGACCATATTTAATAAAAATACCGGATATATAGAAATCAGTTTTTCGTTTTCAAAGTTATTTCATGTTTACGTTTACATACCGACATAAAAGATGGCGCACCCTGTATACAGGAGTCCAGTTGGGAGGTCTCCCAAGACATTATTATTTTTTTTCTTATTACTTGTCAATAAAATTGCGTGAGGATGTTCTCGGTTCATCCTTGATATAAGACTAGCTCATTGGCAAAAAATCAAGTTGAAGAAATTATTTTTTCTGGGTGTAAGACTTCTAATGTCACTGAGTTTATTTCAGTATGGTGTATAACAGAAGTGCGGCAGTTTAATGGTTGTAGGCAATTTGTTATATGGGAAGAATGATATCGATTCCAAGGCTATCCTCAAGATATTTCAATGGCCATATCAGCGCTGTAAGGGTCATTATATTTTCCACATTTAGCATTAATAAATAAGTACATGTCGTCTTTACTCCGGACATTAAAAGGGGATATGGAGAAGGTTTTATGAGTGAAACAGCATTTTGGTAGTGAGTTTCCTCGACCAAGTCCACATGATTCATTTTATATTGGTTACTAAAATATATTTGATAGAGATGCACTAGAATCACTTTAGTTTAATAGTTACTGCCTTATTTACGACTCATATAGATGGACTTTTTTCAGGAAGCTAATGACGACGTAAATCCTCAGGAATACGATGTTACGATGTCTAATTTCCTATCTACCTCATTGATGTATAGCTGGGAGTTTCATTAATACAACAATGTTTGGGGATAAGTCACTTGGAAGAAAGTTTCATTATATCTCGTGGACTGAACACGAGGCATACTTTGTAAATTTGAAATTTTCCAACAAACATAAATACAGCTGTTATACCGAGAATGAATAAATGTGGTATTTGTTATTTTTGAGATTTCGGCTTTTCCGACGGCTTCATGGCGAAAGTAGACACCGCCCAATCCCATCTTCTTTTTACTTCTTTATTGTTTTGTCAACAAAACTGTTCTTGGCTTTGACCCAGACATTGTCTCCTTTATACAGGGAGTTCCAGAATAAGGTCGTTGTCTGTTGGATTTACTATAAAGCAATAGAAAATAGCGCCAAGTAAGTTGACTCTTCGGTTCATGAAGGATTAAGTTCAGCGCAATTTAAGTCCCCTGGAAAAAAAAGTCAATTACGAACATTTACAACAGAGAAACAGTCTCATACAAGTAGTCCATCTTTAGCTGCTCTACCGGTAGGTACAGTCCATCTGGCAACATTGTCCCTTTACACATCTGCGAGGTATTCCTGCAGGGAGTTATCTTTCATTTCGTACATTGTTTGTGTTGGTGCAGTACGGAGAGATTAGTCAGCTGCACTGGCTCGTCGCGCGGTGAGCTTAGGTAGCAGGAGTACACGTTTTAAAGGCAAATGTACAGGAACATCTGTGATGTGTGAAATATGGTTGATGAGCATAGAATTACCGGGGGTGTATATGTATATTGTGCGTCAACTCCTAGTATAAATGAGCTAGACGTTTTTAGGTTATTTCCATTGTATAGGTATTTGATCTATTGCGTTTTTTTCAATCTTCTATTCTTTGTTATTATTACATTTAGGTGATGATATACTAAGTGACATATAAATCCGAACACCCAGTTTAAATGGTTTTATTTTAATAAAAGTTGGTGAATGTATTTATCTTACTGTAAATAACAAGTGAAAAAATTTTCAGCCTTATCAGTTGGACATTCCGGTTTTTATACTGCGTTTTTTTAATTCACTAACGCTGTAAAAATGAATATTTCAGCCGCAGTAAAGAATCAACGTTGGCGGATTTTGGTTCTTGACATCCTTTACGATCGGTTACGATGCCTAGAGTACGGAGACCTGTACGATTTCGTCAACTTAGTGAGTTTGATAGGGGCCGTATAGTGGGACTTCGGGAAGCTGGACTTTCTTGTGGTTAGGTGTTTTCAGGAATGGCTTCGAGAAGGCCGTACGCAAAGAGCAAGGGGCACTGGACGCCGCCGTAGAACAACATACCGTGAAGATTGCCGCCTAAGATTATTGGCCTTAAGGCACCGTTTCTCCACTACCAGGTCCATTGCAAATGAATGGTTTGCAGAACACGGAAGACCTATTGGCATGCGAAGTGTTTACCGACGAATGAGAAGTTTTGCCTTGTTTTCATACCGGCCACACTGGCTCCTCCCTTTAACTCGAGAACACCGACGTAATCGCCTTGAGTGGTGCAGACAACGGTCACTCTGGGATCAGGAATGGAACAGTATTGTCTTTAGTGACGAGTCTCGATTTTGTTTAGCCATGCACGATGGTCGTGCCAGGGTTAGAAGGCGACGTGGTGAAAGGAGGAATCCACAGTTTTTTGTTGAAAAACATGTTCATCACACTGTTGGAGTTATGGTTTGGGGTGCTATAGCTTATGGTTCCAGGTCACCTTTAATCTTTATCAGAGGTAACTTGAACGCGCAGCGTTATATCCACGAAGTTCTAGAACCCCATCTTTTACCCTATCTTGACACCCTGGCAGATCCAACTTTCCAACAAGATAATGCCCGACCACATGTTGCAAGAGTCACAATAGACTTCTTTCAACATAATGATGTCACATTGTTACCATGGCCACCAAGATCTCCCGACTTATCCCCAATTGAGCACGTGTGGGATATGATGGGTAGGAGATTGCTCAATTTGCAATGTCCTCCTCAGACTGTAGAAGCACTTCGAGAGGAGTTGGTGGTTGCCTGGAATGAGATACCACAGGAGGACATTGACCACCTGATCAGAAGCATGCCTAGGCGCGTTGGAGAATGCGTAGCACATTAGGGTGCATCCACACATTATTAAAGGTCAAAGGACTTTAAAGTAGTGCAATCATTTTGAAATTTTTATCATTTACTTATTATGCTTACTTATACAAAATTTTATTAAAATAAAACCATTTAAACTGGTTCAATTTCAATATCGATCATATTGCCCAGATCCCACATCTTTGTTTTGATTGTCTCTTGAACGTGACGGATGCAATCTTAACAATGGTTTGCCGTCACTCCACTCACAGCCTCATGAAACAAATTTTACACGACAGAAAAATTAAATGTTCTATTTGTTAGAAGCCACATAGTTTTTAATATTTGCACAAATCATTTCAATGAGACTTAATTCGCCTTAACACGGTCTTATTTTCGTTTTTAGCCATTTCGTCGATATCATTAAGATTGTATATATATTTGTGCTGCTTGACTAGATAGATGAACTCTGCTTTGACCATATTTTCATCTTCGTCTTTTGATAGGAGCCATTGTTGAATTTCTGCCTTTCTTGTGGACATTGTGGAAATTTTTTCTAGTTTTCTAGTGTGGTATGCAGCATTATCAAATACAATGACGCCATTGTCGTCAAGCTTTGGGAGCGTTTCTTCAAACCATTGTTCAAATGAACTTCCTTCCATTTCTTCATGGTAGTCGGTCGTTTTCTTTGATTCAACTCATCTTCACTGTCAATGTGACAGATAAAAAATCGTTTACCTTTTCCTGTAAATAATTATTTCATATGGTATTCAAAAAAACTAATGATAATACAAGCAGAGTACAGGTGTTGGTTCCAAATCTACGAGTCTACTTGACACCATTTTTACAACACAAATGACGAATTGTTTAGATACACGTACCTGACGGATTCTTTAGGCCAGTGGTTAGTTAGTCCATCTAAGAACGCTTGTCTTGCTTATTTAACACGTTAAATCCATGACGGTCCCATGGGACCGCTTGATATCGGGTCTATCACGCCACGGCGGTCCGTACGGGCCGCATGGTACTTAATTTATTTTCACGGTCACTCCAGCCAAAGGTCCATATTTAAATTCATTTCAGCGTTAGATATGGACCGCTGTGTCCGGTATGGATTATATCCTAAAGCCAACTTTTTGATGTATCTTTGTTTTAAATAGAGTTATTCAATTCTTTATTGATTCACATATCATTTATTTCCTACTAAATCTACACAACAACATTGACAAAAACAAACAAGATTGTGTGAAAATGTGTATATATATATACAGGGTGGCGCATCGAAAACGAAACATGCATTTACTGGCAGCTCAGTTTTTTTTTGAAAAACGCTCAGACCCGCCAATACATTTGGCAAGTAAATGTTGAAAATGGCCACCATGACTCTCAATGCAATAATAAAGATTTTGCTCAATGCGTTGCCGCACATTTTGCAATATTTGAGGAGTAATTTGAAGGCACTCATTCAAAATTCTTTGTCGCAGGTCTTCTACGAGTAATGATGTTGGCTGAGTAACATAGATTTTGCTTTTTAAATGACCCCACATAAAGGAATCCAAAGATGATAAATCTGGCGATCTTGGGGGCCATTCAATGGCACCTCTTCTACCAATCCATCGATCTGGAAACCTCTGATCTAAGTATTGTCGAACACGTAATGCGTAATGTGGCGGGGCACCATCCTGTTGGTACATCAACCTGTTCGCAATGTACCGCCGATCATTCTGATTTTCAATTATGGCTGTTAATGCAGGATCTATGGCGTCTTCCAGTAATTCCAAATATATTTCACCGGTCAAATTTCCAGGTAAGAAAAAAGGACCAACTAAATGATCGCCAAAAATACCAGCCCAAACATTTAATTTTTGTGGCTGCTGTGTATGAACCTCATGATAAATTCTGGGATTAGAATCGGACCAATATCGGCAGTTATGACGATTTGCTACGCCATTTAAGAAAAAAGGAACATTCGTCGGAAAAGCAAGTGTTGTATAGAAAATGTTTATAGTTTATAATTCGTTCACTCATATCTTCACAAAATTGTAATCGCCGATCAAAATCGTCTTCATTAAGTTCTTGTACCAGGTGAATTTTATACGGATGAAAACTATGGGCCTTTAGAATCCGTTCGAGAGTACGTCGACAAACACCACACACAGTCTCCAATTTGCGGGTACTTAACGTAGGATCTAGATAAACTTGCCCTAAAACCCCCACTTCTATTGCTTCGTTCCTTATGGGATTTTCAATATTGCGTTTTTTATTGGCGACTGACCCAGTTTTCCGAAATTTAGTTACCAGTTCTAGAACATATTTTCGATGCACGTTACTGTTCTCATGTCGCTCATTAAATATTTCTGCTGTTCTATTAGCGCTCGGATTATTTCCGAAAAATATTTCGATAATTTCAACTCTTTCTGCTGTGGAATATACCAGGGTTAATTTATGTAATAAAGCGTTACAAGTTATTTGAGCAACAAAGTTTGGTCAAATTAATCGCAAACTATGTACTAAATTCCTATTTAAAATAAGTACGAGATATTTCCTTATCTTTTTTCAAGAAATAACTTTTTTGCCACAAAAAACCCTGCAATAGCTATTTTCAACAACAAAATGATAAACAAACCATGGGCCTAGTAAAGAAAAGCATTTACTTAAGTAAATTCTTTTAGTCAAATTTCTTCTGAAAGCAGTACAAACTAATCTGATGTACCTATTAAGGTCTGCTTTAAGCTTTAAGTCAATAAATCTTCAAAACTACTAAACTGAAGCTCATGTATTTCACATCATTTTAAAGGAAATTAAAAGACCTTTAAAATAAGGTATCACTCGACCCCACTTTCCATTTAAGATTTTAGGGTTGGTGTCACCCCCGCTCAGAGGGCTGCACTTGATTTTTTGCCTCGAAAACAAAATCAACGCGTCTGAGCGTTTTTCCAAAAAAAAAACTGCGCTGCCAGTAAATGCGTCTGTCTCGTTTTCGATGCGCCACCTTGTATATACAAAGAGAAAATGATCATGGGGAGAAAGGTATATAACAAAAAATAGGAAAATAATGGGCAAAAACCGCAGAAAGAAGGAAAGT